GGGCCCAGGTTGTATTCCCAGTACCCTAGAGTGTTAACTGTGGCTCCAGTGCAACTTTGGTGTTACACTTTTAGCGGTAGTTAAAATTTAAAAAAATTAATTTTGCTGCCACAAGTCATTTCCTCCATGGCCTAGGGACCAGGGACTGCACCTGCACCGCCTCCTTACTGCTTCTGGCGGAACACACAATTCCTGCTATTGTGACTGCACTCTGCTGCTGTTTACAAGCCTGGGTCACCTTGCTGACTGTATTGTCTGGGCACAGTGCACCCTCTCTCCTATGGCCATGGTTTTTTCTTGGGGTGCACATAGCAGATCATAGACAAAGGGTTACTGCTGTGGAAGGAGAGGGGAACACACAGCCATATCATGGTACTATTGAGGGTTTTCCCCCTTTCTGAGGACACCATATCTTAGTCTTATGCTGTGCTCCCTATCCCCTTTACTGCTAGCATCAAAGTCCTCCTCTGCTCCCTCAAGAGCACCCTCCTCTGATTTCACATCCAGAGAGGTGTTTACCTCCATTTATTGCAGATTTTATGGCTGAAAATTACTGGCCATAGGGGCCTCAAGTGGGCCCTCTCTCCTGCTCCCTTGGAGATCCTCTCTGACCCTTCTCTGCCTGGTTTTGCACTACCTTAGGAGGAAAGAATTAGAGGAGGGAGGAAATAATTTTGTCTGTGGGCAATTCAAGATCATCCAGACCTACGGTCAGAAGAACCGGCATTCCACCATGCTTCTCTGTTGCTGGTTTTAATGGCATGGCTGTTGTAGCACAAGTCCTGAAGGACAGAGGACTTTCGGGCACTGTCATCTTTATGCTCCTTAAGGCTAAGAAATCAACCCTCTGTAAGATCTATCGTCGAACCTGGAAGGCATATTTTGCTTGGTACTAGGCCCGGAAGTTCCATCTTAAAACTAATGGAATGTTGTAGTGGGAGGGATTATGCAGGACTGTCCTGCAGCTTCAATAGAATTCAATATAATACGCATAACCCAGTGGTTAAAGAATTTAACTCCCTGTATCCTGTGATTTTACTCCAAGAAAAGGATTTTACAGGAAAGACAAAAATCCTGTTTTATCGTAAGCCAATCTGTGTTTAAAAGCAGGTACATTTCCATTGACAATAAAGATCTTGGATATAAGGAACATTTGTCACTTATGGAAAGCCCTCCCATGCTATAGCCAAGATAGTTATCAGTACAGGATAACATATGGTATGTAAAGAATTATTTATTATAGCAATAAAATACATCTTATGTGTAATGGTTAGGTTTTTGTTTCTTTGCAGTGACTTCTGGAAAGCGATACACAAGGGAAGTCAACGTTGACTTCTGTCAGAGCTGTACGTGTTGCAGATGACAATTTTCGGGGATCTCCAAGGCAACTTTCTATGTAAATGATGGAGGAAGAATTAAAACTGGAGTCAGAAGCTACTGAAGAGTCCAATCTTTCACAAAGTAAGGTTTTGTTATTTAATAACAGGGCTGGAATGAAGTGGTTATTATATCTCATACTATTTAAAATGTATCACCATGTTTGGATGTTGGTGTTGGAGAGTTCATTGTTAAACAGAATGGGTGGGTTAAGGGAGGAGCAGAACAGGAGGGTTTGGAAAACACAGCTAGGAAGTAAGCATGTTTAGGTTCCTCCTCAGTCTAATCAGACCCAGTCCTATACTACTTTAAGGAGGGAATGATATTGGTTCTTCAGGATATCTCCTCCCTTGACAAATCTCACATTCCAGGTCTAAGGTGCTCTGCCTGTGTCTTAAAAAAATCAAAACCCTCTTTGTGTTAGAAGAAGAGCTATTAAAGAAAACAGAAGGCATATTATGGTGTTTGCTTTAACTTTTAAAAGTTTAAAATGCACCGTATGGGTTCACTTTAAAGTGGAACATAAGCCAAAAATGCCTTTTTATAGGTTTGGGCAGAGTTGGGAAGAATGCTAACATTTTATTAGACTTGTTTTGCCTTCTCTGTCCCGCTGGAAATCTCATAAACGGGAACAAATCTGCAATACATACACTCGCCAGCGCGGAAAGGTTATAATCCTTATTGGCTTTCATTTCCATCTGTGTCACCATTGGAGATTTTGATGCACTTTATGTCCATGGTGACAACATTGTAACCAGGACAAGAAGTGATTGGAACATCTCCCTTAGGTTTCATTTACACATTTCTAAATGCATATAAATCAATGAAAGGATTTGAAATGATATAATGTGCACTACATGTTACCTGTGTTTTGGTACGTTCAGTTTAGCTGAATTTAGAGATTGGCTGCGGCCAAATTGCTTTAGCAGTGAGAGTGGCTGAAAGGGTACGGTTACACAGTGCGTAACGCATGAAGTGGTGGGGTCAGGAGTGCATAACACACGGAGTGCAAGAGCCTGGAGTGTGTAAGCCACCCTTTAAATCAATGTCCACAGAGTTTTCTCTTAACTGAGAGGCAACAGAATTCTTAGACAGGCAAAACCTGGGTAGCGGAGGGATGGAGGAGGCAGAGCACTGACCGTAGGAGGCAGAGCATTGAAAATTCCGCCTTCCCCTCTCTAAATGCTCGCTGAGCAGAGAAAGTCATTAGTTGGATACTAGGACACTATGCGGTCATTCAACCCACTGTCATCGTATCTACTACAACTCTAGCTGTCTCTGTGTCGGCAAACTTTCGCTGACCCACAGAACAGCGCCCCCTTCTTCATGTGGTGTCCAGGGCATGTGCCATACCTTGGATACACCACTGTAACCATGGCCATGGGTGCCCATTTCCTAAGGACAGGCCCTTGAAATTGGGGGCTGTTCCTGGGAAACGGGGACAGATGGTAACCAGACTCCAAAAGGATGGCACTAATAACATAATTTTATCAGCACTGAAACGTATATGCCTTTCTGTGTAAACCATTGTGCTGTCTTGAGAGATGTAATTTACCTAGCAGCCAGCGACTAGACAGCTCCTCCCTTTTCACTACTTGGCTGTGTCCGTTTACTTTGCTGAATATACTTTATACTTGCATGATTTTCTGTTTCTGTAGCCTTTACTTCTATCATGTCCCTGACTTCTTGGGTCTGCTGCATACCATCTACATTAGCATTCCATGTATGGGGGTAAAGTTCCGGTTTCCTCCCACACTCCAAAGACATGCTGGTGGGTTAATTGGCTCCTGCCTAAATTGGCCCAGTATGCATGCATGTGATATAGGGACCTTGGATTGTAAGCTCCTTGAGGGCAGCAACTGATGTAAATATGCAGTATGTAAAGTGCTGCGTATATTGTCTATATAAATACATGTATTAAATAAATAAAGCTGAAGTCTGTATGGTATAACCCCCTCCCAACCATTGATGCGTTTATCCCGTCACGATCGTACAGTTCGTTAACCGGTGACAGGATAATCCCGTCATGCGTTACAATGAGCGCTGGTCTGTGAAGGGACCAGCGCTCTTTGAGTCACTGCTGCTGTTGGGTCCCTCGAGGTAGGAGGGACCCAACACCTGACTGTAGTGTAACTTTTTTTCAAATATATACATATACTTCTTTTTTTTTTTTTTTAAGATGATCCAACAGATGAAGAACTTGATTTAAATATGGAGGGCTTTTCTGAAGACAAAGACGAAGGTAATTTGTGTGTAAAGTTTGATAGATGAAAGGCATGATTTCCTTGGAAGGTCATTCTGGCACAGCACATTGTGTAATCCACAGGTCTGCGCTTGAGTTCCACATTCATTAAACAGGTCATTCTCACAGCTAAATGCTCAGTGTATTTACACTTGAGCACTTGAAGCAGAAGGGATGAAATTCCATTCATAATGTTTGCTGCAAGTGTAGAGCAGACTGTTCTGGTAGGTAGATTTTGCAACTAGAGACACTGTATGATATAAGAGGTCAATTGGTGATAAAACTTGCTGGCTTCCACCCACAGTTGAAAATCTGCCTAGGGAGCACAAAGTCATTTCCAGATCTGTTTTGTATATGATTTTCATTTATGATGTGAGCAGTCAATATTCAGTTTATGAAAAGTCCTCACATCAATCCTTACATTCTATTCTCAGTCATCACATCAATCTTTGAATCCTATTCTTGGTCAAGTCCATATTTTCAGTTTGATATTTCAAGGGAATGGCCATTCGAACGGTCTCTCTGTCTGTTATTAAAGTTAACTATTCTGTGCATATATGGAAACTGTATTATCTAAGTATGTTATCCCCTGTAGCCTATTTTCAAAATCATCTTCCAGGACAGCACACAAAAGAAGAAAACAGGAAGGAGCCATCCCCAAACTGTTCCCACAAAGTTGGGAGCATGAAATTGTCCAAAATGTCTTGGTATGCTGATGCCTTAAGAGTTTCCTTCACTGGAACTAAGGGGCCAAGCCCAACCCCTGAAAAACAACCCCACACCATAATCCCCCCTCCACCAAACTACATTTGGCACAATGCAGTCAGGCAAGTACCGTTCTCCTGGCAACCGCCAAACCCAGACACGTCCATCGGATTGCCAGACAGAGAAGCGTGATTCGTCATTCCAGAGAACACGTCTCCACTTCTCTAGAGTCCAGTGACAGCGTGCTTTACACCACTGCATCCGACACTTTGCATTGCACTTGGTGATATAAGGCTTGGATGCAGCTGCTCGGCCATGCAAACCCATTCCATGAAGCTCTCTACGCACTGTTGTTGTGCCAATCTGAAGGCCACATGAAGTTTGGAGGCCTGTAGCTATTGACTCTGCAGACAGTTGGCGACTTCTGCGCACTGTGCACTTCAGCATGCGCTGACCCCGCTCTGTCATTTTATGTGGCCTACCACTTCATGGTTGTGTTGCTGTTCCCAGTTGCTTCCACTGTGTTATAACACCGCTAACAGGTGACCGCGGAATATTTAGTAGCATGGAAATTTCACGGATGGACTTATTGCACAGGTGGCAACCTATCACGGTACCACGCTTGAATTCACTGAGCTCCTGAGAGCGACCCATTCTTTCACCAATGTTTGTAGAAGCGTCTGCATGCCTAGGTGCTTCGTTTTATACACCTGTGGCCATAGAGGTGATTGGAACACCTGAATCCAATGATTTGGAGGGATGTGCCAATAATACTTTTGGCAATATGATGTATGTGTATATGTGTGTGTATTTATATATATATATATATATATATATATATAAGCATATATATATGTGTGTGTAATATATAGATAGATATCTTGAAATATCCGCTCGTCTGTGACGAGAGGACGGTGGAGCCTGACGAGCAGCTTCCTGGCCGGCCGTTGTAATTTCACAGCCGGCTGGGAGCTTTACATTCAAAATTATTGCTCTCACTCTGACGTTTGCGGCGATATTAGCACAATAGGCGCAATCATCGTTTTCGCATGTAGGCGCACCCGACGCATATCTGCGTGCGTATGTGGGGGGCGGGGACTTAAATTTTTTTTTTCTTTTAATTTTTTTTATACTTTATTTTTTTAATGATTCTTTAATTTTAGTATTACTTTTTTTTTGTACACACAGCTTTATTGCTATTACATGGGTGGCTAAGAAGCCCCCTATGTAATAGCCAATTTACATGACAGGTCCTCTTTATGGAGACATCAGGGGTCTCCAAGACCCCTAATGTCACCTAGGCACCCCCAGAGAAGCTGATGAAGCAGAGATCGGCTTCATCAGCTTCTGTAGCTGGAGAGCGACACTGAATGCAGGAAGTGATGTCATCTACATCACTTCCTGCATTCGGGAAATGAGAGGAGATCAAAGGGAGTTCGTATACTTAACTCCCTTTTGATCTCCTGTCACAGAGCCGTCCCGGCCGCATCGGGACCGGCAACGGCAGTGACAGCTGCTAATACAAGCGATTGAGCGTCTCTAGAGACGCCCGATCACTTGAATGTAGAGCTCCCGGCCGGCCGTGTAGTTACAACGGCCAGGAAGCTGCTCGTCGGGATCCACCGTCCTCTCGTCGCGGACGAGTGGATTTTTCAAGCCGTATGTGTGTGTGTATGTATATGTGTATGTATCACTTTTCCTCTGCTTTCCTCAGGAGAATCCTCATTAAAAGATGAACTATGCAACCAGGAGTTGGACACTCAGGATGGAGAGCAAAAGACCACAAAAGATCCACTAGTGCCGGAAGACACAGGTTGATGCATAAATCTTGATATTGCTATAAATATTATTGTATTATGATGTGCCAAACTGGTTTTGTGGGATTGTAAGATGTTGTTCACTTCTGGCTATTTACTCTTAACAATCATCTCTCTGTCCTGTTTTTCAGGAAAGCACAAGTCTATTCAGAAAGAGTTATCCCACCTTGAGGATTTAGCTAATCAAACTGATGGTATGTCAAGCTTCATTATCTAACGGTTAATTACCTGGTGGATCAAAATCACCTTGATGAAGTCAGGTGTAAATACCAATATACCTGTATAGACCTTGCAGATGTTATGTAAAGTTTTGGTAACATTTGGCATTTTTTTTCTTTTCAAGGTCTGAAGAAGCCCTGTCCATTGTGTCCAGAAGACAGATTTAGGTCTTGTCACATCAATAAACTTCTGAGACACCTGCAGAACTTGCACTGGAAAGTTTCTGTTGAATTTGAAGGTTTGTAACCTGAAATGAAATAACTGAATGGACTTCTATATAGGAATTGCTAGAACTATACTGATTTAGCATTTGGTGGGGAATGGTTTGCAAATTATACAAAAAAAAACCTTGATCTGTCATTTGTTTGTATGGTAGCAGACATGATACAAAGTAGGTGTTTGTTTTCTAGTTTAAGACCCAAAAGATTATATGTGCAATTGAAGTTGTGGGATACCATTAACATTTTACAGCAACAATTATTTTGAATCCTAAAAAGAATGCTTTGCTAAATATTTACATCAACAATTATTTTGAATCCTAAAAAGAATGCTTTGCTAAATATTTATTTAGAGTTAGAAATGTGAATGTTGTTGCAAACACACTGGGTTTGAATTAATATTACTAAAAAAGAAAGCAGTATGTGTGTTTGTCAAGCTGACCTCTGACTTTGGACATCTCCAGAGGCAGCTGAATTGCATTACTCCAGCTGTGTATATGCAGTGGCGTAACCAGAGTTATGGGCGCCCGGGGCAGAACATTTTTTTTCGCCCCCCCCCCCATTATATAAACATCCACTGGAACTGTACCCCGAAACCGCCACCCCCACACGTTTTTATTTTAATACCGCCCGATGACAGCCGGGTGAATGTGGCAGAGAGAGGGAGCCAGGGGCTTCGTTTAGCGGGGGTCGTGACGGCGCCCCCCCTCAGTCCTGCGCCCCGGGCAAGTGCCCCCCCGGTTGTTACGCCACTGTGTATATGTAAGGTTGCCTTCAAAATGTGTCAATTAGCGATCACTAGCACACAAACAGGAATCCATCTGAGAGCATAGCTATGATTAAGGACCTTTGCTCACGCTGAAACGTGCCAGCAATTTTTTTTCTGTTTTTCTGCCAAGATGAAATAAAGAACCAGTTTTTAGTTAGATCCTTGTTTGTGTTCCGGTGATTACTAATTATGGATGGCAAGGGTTGATGGGGAACCCCCACTGAGCACCGATCTCACATTGGACATGAGGCGGTAGAGCAAGCTTATATGTTTGGATTTCCTGGAAAATATGTGCACTGCTGGTTGCCCAGCACGGGTGCATAATGACTCATTGCAAGAGTTTAAAGCAGTCAGAGCAATGAATGACAGCTGTGTTTTTTTATTTTACTTTATTTAAATTCTAATAGTTATCCAGTAATTCTTTTTAGTCTATTAGAAATGCAGATGATTGTTGTGGTGTTTTTTTAAATTTTTTTTATTTATTAACGGTTTAAATGTGTCTTTTCAGGCTACAGAATGTGCATATGTTGTTTACCCTGCTTGCAAAATACATCGGAAAATGAAAATGAGGTATTTCATTTATAGCAGACATATTTAACTGAAATGTGTTAATTAATCATTTGAGAACTGGCATGTTACACCCCCTTCATTACCAGGCCAAAGTTTGACTGACAATTACTTTATCATGCAACACTGTAACAAAATTAAGGTTATATCTTTTTTTTTGAGACAGCGCTTTCTTTTGGTGGTATTTAATAAGCACTTTAAAAAAATTAATAGATTACTATATGAAGTAAAGACCAAGATAATTGAAAAACAAAATGCATCTCTTATTTTCTGTTATAAAGTATATCAAATAGTATCGGTATGAAAACCCCTGAAATTACTCCTTTGTGGAAAGTAGACACTCCAGTGTGATCTGATTTTTTTTTTTTTTTAACCACAATTGTTTGGAAATGAAGAGGCATTGAGGGGGTTAAATTATGGGGCTTAGTAATGGTGTAGAAGAAACAATAAATGTAAAGGTTATACACAGAGGGAGACAGAGGTGAAGGGGTTAAGGTACAGGTCACATACTGTGGGAGGATGGAGATATATAGGGACTAATGTGCAGGATAAGGGAGATGAAGGGGTTAAGAGTAGAGTAGAGAGTAGAGATAGAATGGAGCTAACATATATAGGAGAAACAGGAGGGTGACTTTTTTTTTTTTTTTACTACTGAAGCTTGTTTTTATCTAGGAAGCAATGAATGGATGATTCATCAGTTCATTACTCACTTTACTCTCCCCTGCTTCTGATGTAAGAGGAATGGGAGGGCTTGGCAATGTAACCAAAACAAAACAAACGACAAACGCACTCAACAATTTGTTACCAGTTATACAGTAAGGTGCACACGAAATGGGCTTTGAACAGTGGAACAGTAGAAAGGCATCATGGCACACTCACAAACCAGCATGTAAAACAACTTGTCTCACCACTAAGGACAATGACAGAGGTTTGGATACACGTCTTCTGCAAAGGATGTGTAAGCCGCACTGCCGCGCCAAGGCACCTCTTATAGTGCGGTCCTAACTCTAAACTATGAGAGTCTCCATCTTGGAGCACATGAGGGCAGAAGATATCAAATTGGGTGCAGGCCTGTCAGGAGGACGCCCCACCTCCTTAAAGGTACAGAGACACACGAGGTAATTGGCAATGTAACCAATCACATGACACGGAGCCGGTCCAATGGCTCTGGCTCTAGAGAGGCAGAGCCAGCTGGCAATCAGGCAACAGGGTGGATCCCGACAATATTTGAGATGATCTTTCCGGTGGCAGCGTGGTTCTGCCACTCAGACATGCTGTGCATCCATCCCTTTACAGTATGAAAACACTGGGATGTGTGGGAAAATTTGCAGCCTGTCATTGATTTCAACAAGCAGATGCATGGAACTCCTGCGCCTCCTCTGGCACATAAACAAGGCCCCCTGCAAGGATGTTTGAATCCATGTGAATGACACCAAAGAGATTCCACTGGTGGCTTGCACCCAATAGAATGTTTCCCTTTTTGCAGGCTTTTACATTTTTTTTTTGTGCAATTTATTTGCATTTACGATAAATCCTACAAAAGAAAAGTATCAATTCTGTTACACCTCCAAATTAAATGTTAGTTCGCAGCCACTGTGATTTGCTAACTGCTGTGCTGTGTTGCTTTCTTGCAGTTGCCCAATAAATCTAGCGCTCACTACCATTGCATCATCTGCTCTGCAATTGTTGCTCGAAGAAGAACAGAAATGATAAGACATATCAAACGTCATGTCGAGAAAGGGGAGAGTCAAGTAATATCATCAGCTGGTGAGCGATTTGCCAACTACTGCATTCTATCTGCTAGACATTCCAGAGAGACATTTTTCTATTTAGTTTTATAATAAATATTTCAGTGTTTGCATTACTTCCACTGCAATACTAGTGTTCCTGGAAGTGTGATCTGGCACCCTTCATAAGTGGTGTTTGTGACCGTAATTTCCTAGGTCAAAGATTTGATCTAGATTTTGATCTACAGTTAAGCCACAGGCTAGATATATTGTTCCCCTAGTGCAAGCCTGCAAGCGTATATGGTTCAATGCTCCAGCAGTGCTGGCTGTGATGGCTCTGCTTTCACAGGACATCAGGATTATGCCCTTCTGGTTCTTCTGGGGGTTTGTCACCGTACTGTGTCTTGGGCCAGCAGTGCCGAGCGACGGTCTTAGATGTTCTGCTGTACACTGAGGGATGTTCCTGCCCCCTTTTATCTGGAAAGGCTGTGTAAATATAAGAACTGGATGGCTAGAAATACAAAACCTTTGGCAGGTTAAATGGCTCCACATATAGTTTACCTTTTTAGTCATGATTTTATTTTTCTTTATAGGTAGTAGACCCCAGGAAATTTTACATGAATCGAACACTGAGGTACAAGTTCTTCCCAATTGTCGCACACCACAAAAATCTGGAACTTTCTTTAATCCAGTAATGAAGACTAACCGGTATGTCAGATGCTTCATCCCCCTGATCGTTTTTCTATTACAAATGTACTAGTACAACCCTACATTGGTAACTTATTTTTCTGATACTAAAGGGACTATTTATAAATCTTGTGACGGAAGATTAACACAGCTTTCAATTTTATTCAGTTGGTAAAAGATGTTAATCCTGGTTAAAAGTTATGTCAGCCTTGTGTAATAACATTTATAAATAGACCCCAAAGTGTTTTAACTCATATTGGTATACATTTGCAATACATTCATGTGTTTCTAATGATGTGATTATCAACACAGGGTTAAATTGTTAGTGTAAGACTAAAATTACCTTTTGTGCCTTTCCCTTAACCTTGTGTTGCCTTACCAGGTGCCCCCAGCTCCTACTCTAACTGACTATAATCTCAGTACAAATGAGTAAACTAAACGTGAGTTTGAAGTCCACACAAGGACCATGGGGAACAAAAGTAGCCACCCTCCAGAAGGAAGGACAGTGTCGGCATGAATCCAGAGATGATTTGAGGATCTACAGCCGAGTGATGCACAAATAAGATACAATTTTGTTAATAGTTGGTGTACTTGAAAGATTTAACTCCTGAGTTTAGTGTCACCGTATAAGGAGGGAGTCACATTGAGACAATATGTGTCTGACTAAGCCTCGATCACTACAGAGTCAATCAAAAGGGGAACGTGGAGTACCATGTTCCTTCCCCTTCAGGACTGACCTGGAACTGGTGAAGCTATAGAACACTTTAGTAATGGAGAGGGGGAGACGTCATACCCTGTAAGTCTCCAGTCTGTTTAGGCAGGCCACCAGACTGTAAATGAGAGAGGCAAAAGAGATAGGAGCTCACAAATTGCGAGAACCTGGAATCTTGGAAGCTGGGAGAGAGGGCAGAATGTATGATAACCCTGAGCATTCCCGAGGAGGCAGGTAGTGCGATGAGTTTTGTTACTGCTGACGGTGTAGTCAAGACTGCTGAAGCCGAATTGAAAAAGTAAATTTAACTTATTGTTCAAACATTCAGGGAGAGCAATACAACACATTGCTCTAACTGGCTGGATCTTTCTTATACAATATGTTCTAAACCGGACGGTAACCTATCTACATGCTTTGACGTGTAAATCTGGTTTCCTATGGTATCTGTTTAGGTAATAACAGTCGCTTACGCACGCTGTTTACAATGCTTCGGAAAGAACAATAGTTTACGGACAGGAATCAGTAGATGAAGGACTTGTAAATAGCATTCTCGGATGTGGATGACAAAATATAATAAATTATATTTAATCGAAGCTGTATATGTTATAAATAAAATGGCTGTTCCATTATCTCCTTCACTGCAACTGTTCCAACCACAGCTGAGATCAAGGGATAGGATAGGGAGCGTATATTCTTCAAGGGAAGCCAGGGCAGAGCCGCTAATTGGGAAGAGGAAAATTAATGGTCGATTGAAACCCATTTCTTCATGTGGGATTTCCTATACCATTCCAGGGTACTGGAACTGCCTGATAGTACAGTACTGAGTTGGGGAAGCCAATGCCTCCCTGTTTTGGGAGAGAGAGAAGAGAGTGATCAAGCAAATGCAGTTTAGCTCCCCAAACAAATTGTAAGAAATTTGAAATGTCGATTGATTTTAACATGCACGCTGGATGCACCCCAGGTCCGTTAGGGCTGCGCTTGCTGCTTATTCCAGCTCGGCTACCAATTCTAGAAAATACAATTCTCCTTGTTTTAAATGGGCTCCGTTCACACCACTGAGTTATGGTGGTGTGCACTGAAAAACAAAAAAATACTTGCAGTGGACCGTGATGCAGTACCCCACCTTTTAATTAAGTGCCCATAGCACTTAATTATTGTCACTTGTGACATTTCAATAAAGCTCTAACAAAAAAAGGTAAACGTGCAATACACCGGGATTGGTGCATCAGCACTGTGCTTGGCAACGCACACCAGCAGTATTGAAGCAGCCCTCTATTTTTGAAAATGAATGGAGTTTCCCAAATGAAAACCACATTCAGTGTTAGAGTTCATTCGAGGAAAACTTTCCATCGTCTCCAATTTTCTTTTGTCACTACGGTTGATTGGCAATTTGAACGCATTATTTAGGAAATTGACACATTTTTTTCAAATGAAATTCTAACCATCTATACCCAACTTCAGTGTGCATTTGATTTATTGCAGACAGCTGATCGTTTGTGCCCTTGCGGTGTTAAGAGAAGAACGACAACCTCTAGAATGTCTGGATGCATTCAGTGCCACAGGTACAGAATATTATTTCTTCATTTACTTTTGATGTAAAAATTATTTAGTTTGCTGTTCATAAATATTCTGCAATATTCTTTCTGCATTTTAAATTGGAGTCATAGCCCTCTTAAAAAAAAATCAAAATGACCAAGTGATCTTATTTCCATTGCACATGTTTGGTGAAAAAAGTTGTACAGTATATGGTGTGTAATTACCCATAGTAACATCTGCTGATTCTATTGTTCCTTTTGGAATTTCTCACACTCACCAATTGGTTTTTTATCCTGTATGGCAGGGTTTAAAATTTCAAGTCCTGAGCTACTAGCCGGGCCTTAAAAGTTACTCGCCACCAGTTGCCCACCTAACCCCTACCCTGCCCCGGCCTTAGCTCCGCCAGGTCAGCAGTGTGACACACAGTACAGAAGTCAGCAGTACAGAGGTCAGTAATGTGACGCACGGCGCAAAGGTCAGAGTGACGCACAGTGTAAGGAAGAAAGAAAACGGACTTACAGTGCACTTAGCTGGTATTCAGGTGCCTCTTCTTTCTCCTGGTGGGGGGTGGGCGGTGCAGAGATCCTCCATGTGTCCTCTTTTCCCCCTGCTGCATAACTTTCTGGATGGCCGGTCTCGCTGTCTCTGCAGTCTTCCTGGCAGCTGAGGTGGGCGGAGGAAGCTGCAGAAGACAGCAGAACTGAATGTCATCGAGGTGAGCCGCCGCCGGGACTAGAGATGGGACACAACCGCTGCGGCGATCATTCGCATCTGTTCTCTCCTCTGCCGCTCTGTAGCTGCAGCGGCCGATTAGAAGAGAGAACAGAAGCGTGCAATCGCCGCGGCGGTAGTGTCCCGCCGGCGGCATACCTCCTATGAGATTCCACTCGCCCCCACGCAATTTTCACTAGCCAATTGCGAGGGGGCGAGTGGAAATTTTGAGGCCTGCTGTATGGTGTAAAGAAAGAAGACCATTTCCTGCTTTCCATTAGTTTGTACTGGAGTGTTCTTGCACATAATTCTATTTACATCCTCAGGGAGCATACCTATCCATCTGTTCGCTCCTTAGTATTCCATCCCCCCTATATGTCTGCTGTCATCCTGATAGTCCCATGTCCCTTTACTTTGGTTTCTACTCCCCCTGCAGGCTACATTGTCCTTCATCACTTTTGCTTTGTAGCTTCTTATTGCCCCTGGCTCTGTACTACATTCTGTGAGAATTGCTTAATTCCTTCACTGTTTGTTTCTTTCCTCTGGCAATCTGTATGCTGTTGTCCTCCCTTTTCCTCTCTTCTGCTGCGGTCCCTTCTCCCACCTGACTCATCACTGCAGACTACATGCTCTCTGATTTGCTCTTGCTAATTCTGCTTTACCTCCCTTTTGGTACTGGATATCTTTGTCATGACCATGGCTGTAGGTATCGTACGATAACACTTGCTCAATCTATCCATTTTTGGCTCATTAGTGTAAAAATGTATTTATTGTCTTTGGTGATAGATGGCCACTGGCCTGCAACTCAGAGGAAACACTGATCATCAGATGGGTAAGAAAACCTGTGCTAATTGCTAAAGTTCTCCCCTGAGCTAAGCAGCGCAGGCAGTGCCTGCCTATGCCACTCTTCCACTCTCTTCATTGACGATAAACACTAGAGGAGGAACTTAATTAACTGCCCATCCTGCCCACAGGAGGGAGAAATGCAATCCAGGGTATCAGAAGTTCCCTCCTTAGCACGTATTCTGATATTTTTTTTTTCTACTCAAGATTAAGCCATGTGCTGTTTTCATTCCATTGTTTCCTCAGCGGTGCACTAGCCAATTTACTGTGGTTTACATACTTTTACATTCCCATTCCTTTCCATGGTCATTTTCTTCTACTTCCATCCTTCTGCACTTGCTTATTCCTGTTTGTAAAAACTGGACAGTATGTACGCACATTCATCTTCTTTTGTTAAAAGATCATATTAATTATAAACGTAAGGAAACTAGGCAATACAATAAAACAAAACTATTACCAATAATGCAGTGTATGCCTCTTAACATGGTAACAGGTGAGCAGAAAGAAGAGATGATGGAGAGATTATTGCAATATGATTACTATCTCTATGTTACAGTAAAATAGTTTACAATACATGTAAGTATGTTTTAAGAGAACCCACTGACAACTTTGCTCCATTAATTTCTTGCATATGTGTACCATAAGCAAAAATCTTTAAGATGCTAGTTCACCCTAAAAATAAAAAATGAACTTTAAACAAGGGCTGCAACTAACGATTATTTTTATATAATCGATTCCTTGGCCGATTTTTATCTTTTCAATTAATCGGATAAAAAAAAAAACTTTTTATTTAAAATACAATACACTAACGGAGTGTTACAAACATTTTTACTTTAGTTTAAAACTGCATGCACAATTATTTGCAATTGTACCACAAAGGAAAACACACAGCATTTTTTTTTTATTTCTCTATAATTGGAGGACGGCTTTCTCTTACCCTATTTTTTTTTTTACTATTTGTTTTTAAATTATTTTTTAAAGTTACTTTACTTGTTAGGGGCTTTGGGAGATATCAGGGGCCTAAACAGGGTGGAGAAGCGGTATAAGAGTTGGGGGGGTTGGTACAGAGGAGGGGTATAAGAGTTAGGGGTTTGCTACAGAGGAGGGGTATAGGGGTTAGGTATGGAGGATTTGTATAGGAGTTGGGGGGGTTAGGTACGGAGGAAGGGTGTTGGAGTTGGAGGGATAGGTGTTTAAGAGTCACCATGATACAGAACCATGCAATTGTGTATTGCGGTCTGTCTGCCTCTACCAGCAGGTTATGAGAGGGTTGTAGATTTTGCACTCTGACTATAGAGTCCTGCGCAACAGCCATACAACACACGTGCCTTGATAAATGCATAAAAAAAAAAGAAGAGTACTAGTGTAACACAGATTACTGTAATCATAAAGCCAAATTTCATGAGCTGTATGCCAACAGCTCTATGCCTTTTGAAGCCTACATGCTGCTGTCCCAATGGCTGTGTTAATTTATTATTTGGGCATGTGCAGATATCATCCATGTTTTGTGAAGTCTATTTGGTTCAATTGAACTATGGGTGACTGGCTCAGTCATAATGTTGGACGTTTTCTTCCCATATTTCCAAAGCTTTATTAAAACTATGTTTACAGTGATGTAAAGTTCTACCCAAGCTACCTAAGTAATGACACATTTTAATAAAACACAACATTCTGAATTTGCCATTGAAAGAATGGGCACCTTTGCTAGTAAATAATATTAACACTGTTTATTACTGTTATTCCAAAGTTATTGGGCTATTTACGGAGAACAAAACCCCTTCAGACTTTGCTTCAATAGAGTTCATACCGGTTTTAGCCATACGATTATTGCAGCTGTGAAACTATTTGTTTTTCTAGGCATCATGGGATTACAGTGGGCAAAGCACTTTGGGAATTCAGTGAAAGTCACGCTCAATGACATTAGTGAGACCTCAACAGCTGTTATTCGGGAAAACTGTCACCTTAACCAGATGAATGTGTTAATGGAAGACGAAGAGATATCTGAAGCAGTGGCCACAAATAAAGACGAATTTGTAAACACAGTAGAAGTAACTCAAATGGATGCCAATATCTTAATGCACACGCGGCCTTTCGATTTCATGTAAGCAAAATTACTTCTTACAAAATGTTTTGTCAGTGTGTAGAAAATGTTAAATTTAGTAGAGTTGTGGGAAAAGTTTTCTTACTGTTATAAATAACGTTGTACATTATATAGCCATAAAACATATAAAAAGTCAGTTTGATTTTTGTGAATTTGAGAATAACTCATGAAGTGTAACAATTCTGTATGTTCTCCAGTAAGCCCCACCCCTCCCTTTCTGCTTGACATTCACAGGTGGAGACAAGAAAGTATGTCTTCAAAGAGTTAATATAGCCCAGATTTCATTATACAGTAAACTCCCAGTTATCCAGCACCCATGGGGATCGGTAGGTGCTGGATAACTGTAGTTTATGGTTGCTTGAGAGCTAATAGTAATTCTCAAGCTACCACCCTCTGCGGCGCCCCACTTCCCCCTGCAGCCCCATTCACCTGCCGGCTAGCTTCCAGAGCCAAGAGGTGAACGGGTTTCAATTGTCAGCCTGCTATTGGCTATTTCAAGTTGCAATAGCCTATAGCAGGCTGGCTATTGAAGCCCCGCCAACTAAGCAGGGAAGCTGCCCTTAGAGAAAGTTCTATATAAGTTAAAGATATATACAGCAGAAAGCATTGCTAATCGACTATATTTAGAGTTCAAATCAGTTATGCCATCTATTTCGTTCTGTGCAGACTGCCTAAATGTTTGCATGTTTCCCTTGCAGCGCTATGGTCCTGTAGTTGGTGTTTATTTTTAAAGACTACTGTTTGAGGCAAGAAAATGTTTTTACTTAGTTTCATAATCCTATGATGGTATTTCATACACAGCTTTATTCAACTTTTGTTATATGTTTTGATGTAGCAGGCAACATGGCTAAATCAAGGTTTTTCTAAGCACCTTCAAGGCTTTCTGCCCTTATAAAAAGACATAGGATTGTGTTTCTCTTATTAACATTTAAATGCAGAAGCTAGGGTCGTAATCCTTCGGCCCCTTTTAGCATTACAAAGAAAGAGAAGGAAGCAGAACATTTTACCCTTAAGAAGCCAAGAAACCCTAACCCAAGTAAAGTAATTTGAACCGCAAGAAGCATTTTTTTTAGGTTATGCTGTCAATTGTAACATGTAACAAATATAAAATAGGTGTTATCCCAATTTGGCTGAGAAACTGGAAATACAAAGCACACTCTGTTAGTGCTTCTTGGGCTTTCCAGCTCCAGGCATCCGTTCTTAGATATGGAGGGCCGCTACATGGTCCTCTGTTCACAGACTTACATTTTACTAGGCAGATGTTTAGGCCTCATCTGTGTCAACATTAGTCGTAAGGTTCTTCAGGCGGCTTTGTGAGCGCTCTCAAGTCCCTGTGCTAATCTGTTTTTACGTGGGCCTGTTGGCGTTTTTGTTTGCTGCTGTGCCCTTTTTTATGTACAATCAAAGAAAGGGATTTTACAGTCCAAGACAAAAATCCTATTTTCTTTGAGTGTATTTCAGGACACAGGTCCTCCCCTTCTGTTCCATTGATTCACTACTACCTTTGCTTGTTTACAATAACTGTGCTGTGTCAGTGTCCAGTCTCCTGAAGGGGGTAGTATAACCCTACTTTCCTGAATGCCATCATGTGTTCTGTAATGTGCTCCTAGAAAATTTTTTTACTGGTCGGACTAAAATCTTACTATTTCCTATGTGGCTGGTTCACATGGAAGTCTAATGCTTGGGAAGTTTATGTCTACATTATAGAGCTATCTGTTTCAATCCAGTATTTGGACCACAAGCCTGCCCAATCTACTTATTGTGCTTGGAGCCTGCCACCTGGATACTAGTGGTATTTGGATTATTTGTGTAATTATTTGTAACTACGGTATTGAAAAATGTATTGCTCGAACACAAATTCACTAGAACTTCCCATTAAATGTTTTTTTTACTGTTTTTTTTTTCTCCAGCCATTTGGATCCCTTTGGGACATCTGTGAATTATTTGGATGCAGCATTTCGAAATATCAAAAACTTGGGTATTGTGTCCGTGACCTCAACTGATACTGGATCATTGTATGCCAAAACTGTGCATGTCGCGAAACGCCACTATGGCTGCAACATAATTAGGACAGAATACTTCAAGGAGCTGGCAGTGCGGATTGTCCTGGCTGCTATTGCTAGGTAGCAACAACTAGATATTTTACTGCTGTATTGCAATTATAGCTTTGTAACCATTTGCTTTATCCTTTCTTCTCTTTAGAGCGGCTGCTCGCTGTAATAAAGGCATTGAGGTTCTGCTCTCCGTTGCTCTGGAGCATTTCGTCCTTGTGATAATACGGGTTCTGAGAGGTCCTTCACTAGCTGATGAGAGTATAAAAATGATCAATAACCTTATTCATTGCCATTGGTGTGAGGAAAGAATCTTCCAGAAGGAAGGAACTATGCTTGAAGGTAAGTGATGCACAGTACAAAGGTATTTTTTTCTTTTAAATCCAGCCATACCTATAGGGTATAGGATGTAGGACACTAAGCAAGAAACCCCCGATCACCCACACTCTTTGCTCGGTGTCTTTAGAAGTAAATGTTAGAAGACCGTCTGATCCTTGCTTTTTTTATTTTTAGTCTCCATTTTTTTTATAGTCTTCCTGATGACCTTCTAGAATAGATTACAGCTTCTTTCTTCCCTGCTGGCATATTCCTGTGCCCTCATCTATGGGTTCTGGTGTCTTAGACCCAGAGAAGCAGCCATGAGTACACTACTATAGGTAGCTATGAAGAAAAATGTGTAGACTACCACCAAAATAACCAAATACACAAGTCAGCTCTGCCACCAAGAGTCTGTACTGAAATCTCTGGCTTTCTACAGTGTCTTACTCTGATCTTCAATTTCCCTGTAATTGCCACTATGTGCATCTGCTTACTAGAAGTTGCAATTTCAAATGCTCCTGCTTTTTATTGTGAAGCATTTTTTTTTCTCTTCCTTCATTTTGACTTCACTGCTACAGTATACCAGTAGGAGGGAAATGGGGCGTTACCTAGCAAGTTTTTATTCCAGTTAGCTCTGGTGGTACTCTTTACTTGTTCCGTGCACTCCATTTTGCACAGGTGCTTGCACCCCGATTACCTCCGTACCTCTTTTTCAACTGTTACCATCTGGCATAAAGTCTATTTAAAGTTCTGGTCAGTAGATGCAATTTCTCTATGAAATCTTCAATTTTCTGGCTAACTTGGGGCCAGGTTGGACAACATTATTAACCACTTCAAGACCAGGTGTTTAGACCCCCTTCCTGGCCAGGCCATTTTTCAGTATTCAGCGCTGCGGTACTTTGACTGACGTTTATTCCGTCATGCAACGCTGTACTGAAATGAATTTTATACCATTTTTTGGGGACAGATAGAGCTTTATTTCGGTGGTATTTAATCACCACTGGGGTTTTTATTTTTTACTATAATTAGGAAAAATTACAGAAAATTTGGGGAAAAAAAAGTTTTTTTTAACATTATGTTAGGAAACATTTATTATTACCCAGTTTTTTGGTAACATATAAAAGATCGGGTCACGTCGGGTAAATAGACACCAAAATTTTGGCTATAATTTTACTGGACAATCCACATGTAGATTTTATGCCACGTTACCATTTCAAAATAAACCATCTATGTCCTCCGACAAGCCTAATCCTGCATTAAGATCTGCTTTTATCCAACCAGGTAGGTAATGCTTTCTCAGGTTTGCGGTCTCCAACTCGATAGTCCAAGAAATGGTGTCCTCCGTTACAAACTTTGCTTCCACTTCTGACACATTTAATTTCTTATTTTCCAGATTCCTCCCCATGTGTCTGTTGTGTTCCAAGCCTTGTAGGGCCCAGTTTCTCTAAGACTGGTCCCTGTACACAGCCAGGAATGAGGCCAGGGTTTTTTATTTTTTGTGGTCGCCAAATAGGAAGAATCAATCCATCACATTCTAGATCTAAAGTTACCCAAGCTTAGCATGTCTTAATTTTTACTGTTCCTCACTAAATCTCTCTGCTGATTGTAACCATGAATGAATTCCTGGCAAAGGAATTTCCACATCCTTATTAGTGATGAGCCGAACACCCCCGTGTTCGGTTCTAACTACCTTATCTTTCCCAGCTGTTGGCAGTTCCTGAGATTCATCAAATCTTCCCATTCATAATCTTCCCATTCGTGGTCTTGCCCTTCAGCCTGGCCACAGTGACGAGGGTATTCACCAAATTAATACCTACAAATATATGGTGATCCTCTTCTTGGAAATCAATGTCATACCTTTTGTCAGGAGACATTGTTCACATGTTCTGCATTAGTAAATTGTTACCAAGCCTTGCTATAAAATCCTTTGTTTGCTGCCTCATCCAGTGTCAGCTTTGGCAAGAATATTTTCACAGAAAAGGCAGATGGTACTGTGTAAGTTAGAAGAAAGACAGAATAAACAGGCCGACCCTGCTGTATTTAATTATAACTATTACTTCAATTTGCTGTGCTTTGAAAAGGTGGTTTTCTGCTCTGACACCCCATATTCCCCCTTGGAATTGCATTGATGCATAAGGGTCTATTTATCAATGTTTTTACACAACTTCCACCCAAGATTTACAAATTCTCCAGTGACATTCAATTAGAAAAATAAGTGCTTCCTGGGTGAAAGTTGTTTGCAAAAATATTTTAACAAGACCTCCAAAATTCAGAAGTTGTGTTTTTTGCAATCTCTTTACCAGTTGGTAGAACATTTTGGGACCAGAGTGTACATCTCTGAGCCACAATCGGCAAGGTTCTTCTGTAAGCATGTCTCTTCACTGTGCATTCTGACAGTAGTGTGTGCTGCAATACTGTTAAAGCTGATCTTTGGCTACTCCCCTAAACTTGTGTTTTAATGTTTCTGATGCCCAAATCTGTTGTGTTTATCCTTCCGATGCCCAATTGTGTTGTGAAATCTATTTTATCAAAGCTTTGTATTTGAAATAACATAGTTTCTCTCCCGTTCATTGAAGGACACAGGGAACAGATCGGAGATCCTGTACTGTAGGGTAATATCGCCACCTGCAGGAGAAGGACGCTAGGCACAAAACTAAAGACCAATCACAGCCTAGGGGCGGCCCCTGCCGGTGGCCAAAACCCCCCACCTGCTGACAAGTCTCCAGTTTTTTGCCTAGCGTCAGGAGTAAGGAGCTAAGAATTTTTTTCGGGTATTCTTACCTGCTTCTTCCTGATCTTTTTCAGTGGAATCTTCTAGCAAGTGTTGTCCGGGCGACAGGCTGGATGTCCCGGATCGTTGGAGTCTCCCCGGAACGACCGACGATCGCATGCAGGCCCGCTCCGGTGGGTCGGCTGCGACGATCCCGCTCTGGCGGGGTGGCCTATGGGTTCGTCCCAACTGATAACACATGCAGGACAGCTAGGGGAGCATCTGAGTTACACCAGTATTGCCACTGGCAAACTTTTATCTCTCTTACACTGCAAGATACACAGACCATAAAGTAGATGGAGAGACCATGGCCAGTGTGTTTTTCCTGAATTCCTTCTCTTGACCATTTAGTGTATTCGCACTTTGTTGCAAGGTAGGATTCTTAGAAATATCAAACCCATCGGCATAACATCGCATTATTTAGCCATCTAGAAAATTCCATGTTATGCTGATGGGTTTGATTTTTCTAAAAATCCTACCTTGCAATATATGTGCATAGAGCATTTTTATAAAACATCCCTATTTGACAGGTACATTTGAAATATTGCATCTAAATATTGTATATTATTGTATCCATCCAGCAAGTGGATTTCTGTGTCTCCTTACCTTGAAAACAGCCCTGTTTACAGTGCTTAATAGCTTAAGCTGAAATTAGCTTATGCAGCTGACTGAGCCAGAACAATATTTAGCCCTCCTGTGTGTAGTAAAGGCATATAAAACATCAGTGTAAAAAATATGCATTGCGAAAAAGGACAATTCGCACAAAAGCATTGTAGTATCTCTTAACAATGTTGTTTATCTTTTAGAAAATCCATATAAACAGCTGCCATGTGATTGCCACAAAAGTATGCCTGGGAGATCAGCAGCCTTGCTTGGCCCAATGTGGTAAGTGCTGTTCTGTACTTGTATATTATGTCTTCTACTGTCACAATGCAAAGTTCATTGGTTGCTAAATGTCCAGATTCGTGTTCTGTACCAAAATTCTTGTTTATACACAAAATAAAAATGGGATGGTGCCATAAAATATCAAAGTGATGATTACATTTGATTAAATTTTTTTTCCAAACAACTTTTTGCTGAAAAAAATTGTTAAACACAGAAAGGAATAGAATATATCTGCATTCATTTAGATCGTCCAGTGTTATTTTTGATAAAATCAGTCGTTTTATGATCAAACTCTCCAACTGGCATGGTATGATTAAAGGAGAACTATGGGGTACGTGTTTTTCCCTATGGTTCACCTAAGGGTCACGGGAGGACACAAACTAGCATCCTCCTGTGACCCAAAGCTCTGTATATTGAGACCGCCACAGCCGGGACGTATCCCGACATTACTGTGGAGATCCACCCAGCTGCGTGATAGGCAGAGCCAGCTGTCAATCTAGAGGCAGAGCCAGCTGTACCCGCCTCCTCCCCCGTCCGATCCGCCAGTCAGCGCTGGAGGAGGGGGGAGTGAATCCCTGCAGGGAGCCGTGAGTGACAGTCACTGCTTTTTGCAGGGACAGGATCGAGAAGTGTGCGAGCGACGATATGTGTTCGCTCACTTCCCAATCTATTGAGCCGACGTGTTACAGTTTCATTGTCACACGTCGGCTCGAACTATGAGGCTGAGTGATTTTCACTCGCCTCACAGTTCTCCTTTTTTAAGGCAGTTTTCATCAACAAATGATCCTTGAAACGGTAAATATATTGAACAATCTTATTGTGGTATGCCAGCATGAAACAATTGCTCAAAGCCCCCCATCGCTTCAGACTGCTCTGTACTGTCGTTAAGTAGACCATGTTTTAAACAAGATAAATGAAATCTAAAGATGACCATATATGATCCTATCATTGCCCCCATTCAGACATCTCCATGACGGGTCTTGTGGACGTCCCTAAGTTACAATAATAAGCTCTTTCAATAAGTAGAATCTTGTGTTATATATTTTGCTCAGATAATTTTAGGAATAACACTGAAAAAGACCCCTCAGGGCTAAGTATGTAAAGCTTTTCACACGTTCCTTGAGCTGGAAGGTGGCATTTTGAGGCCTCAATAGCCCTTTTGATTGGAAAAATTTGAGTATATATATATATATATATTATACATTATACCGGATCACATGATTGGTGGTGTATGAAAATGATTACATCCTATAGCTTTAAAATTAGCAGAGTTTTTACTGGTACATGGAAATCAATCATGTCTTGTGACAGTTTCCTCTTACCTAAAATGGATGGTTTAGTTTATGACTCTCTTTTTTATTAGTTTGTTGAAGTAATATTTAGAATGCATATTTTTGTTTGCACAGCGAAAATATAAAGTCACTGATCCCTTACCAGATTGCATACTAAGCCTCCTACACTGTAGATTGTTTATACGCAGTCTGTGTCTGGTTTTAGGTCTGGCTCGCTGTTTAACACTGGCTTTCTCAGAAGTATGCTGTATGAAGCTACATCCCGAGGCATTGGGGAAATCAACACACTGCTGAAGAACCTCATATGTGAATCTGAATGCACAACTCTCAAACAGTTCTCTGTTCATCCCAGTCAGTACAGTCAAGGTAAGATTGGTTCATTCAAACTGGCACACAGATGCAGTTTTGAGAAAATGTTGTGAAAATATATACATTTATTTCATATTATACATTTTCTGAACTAGAAAATGATCAGTTTTTAAATAGCAATATTTTAAGCACCCATATAGCAAATGAATCCAAACTGTGTTTTCTTGTACATATTTATACAATATCCACTGTCCCTGCATCAGCCACGAAATAACAATAGCAAAGGAATAACCTGTTTTGGAATTGGGGCTGGGGTAGTGTCAGCTTTCAGTTAAGGTGCCCATACACCTTACAATTATCTGCAGATTTTCTGTGGTCAGATGGAAAAAGTGCAACAGATTGGCCCAGGTGGAGATTACTCCATCCACACAGTTAAGTGTAGATGCAGGAATCTGTTGCACCTTTGATCGATCTATTTAGTCAATCTATTTAAATTTGCATCCATACAGGTGCACAGTGTAATTGTCCTCTAAAGGTGCCCATACACCTTACGACCATCGCAAGACCTTTTGTCTTGCGATGGTCGTAAGCTCATTGAAAGCTCGTACATCCTTAAGACAGTTTTTCCTGAGGCGGTTACACGTCATAATTCTCACTCCACTATGGTCTATTTTTGGTACCAGGTATTGATGTTCCTGTACAGCATTTTTTTTTCTCCAAACCGGCATACATTTACGGAATGGTTCAATTTTGGCTTCATCGGTTTGCAGAATATTGTTTCAGTACTGTTTGAAAAACAAAACAAAGGGTTAATGGTGGTCGTGCAACTGCCCGTTCAGCATTGCAGTCATCGGAAGCCCGCCCCTCAGGGGGGCGGGCTTGCAATGATCGAGAGTACGATCTGCCTGTCCAAGATGGGCAGATCGTACGTTTTTTTTAATCACGTTTTTTTTAACTAAGGTCTTGCGATGGTTGTACAGTCTATGGCCACCTTTAGAGATGCCTGTAGATCCTAAACGGCCTGCCTCGAAAAACGTTCCGTATTTTTGCACTGATGTTTGCAGGATGTATACTCATAGGGAGAGTACCAGTGGGACTGGATTTCTTCTGCATGTAAATTATCTGCATCTTATATCTTGTAACTTTTTCTAGCCTTAAAAACTTAAAGCTAAACTCCATTCAGCCTTAAAAAATATTTGAGTGCCCTCCAGGATCATTTAGTCTAAGGCTAGGTTCACACTTGGGCGTATGGAATATGCGCGTTTGACGCGCGTTTTTACCGCGATTTGCGGTAAAAGAAACGCGTGACAAATTCGCGTTTACGAGGACTATACGGCTGTCTCCTTATGGATGCATGCAGCAATAAGCCCCAAAGAAGCTCCTGTACTTCTTTGGGCGTAGGGCGTTTTTCAGCGCGTTCCTACACGCTGTAAAACGCCCAAGTGGGAACCATGTCCATAGGCAATTATTGGTTTTCACATGTTGAGCGTTTTACAGCGCGTAGGAACGCGCTGTAAAATGCCCAGGTGTGAACCAGGCCTAAGAGTGGTAAGGGAATACTTATTCCTTGCTTTCCTGACAGCTGGCACTCCTCCTTGGTCTGCTCCAGCCCCAGAATTTGGGAAGGCCCTGAATTTGCTCATGTACAGTGCAACATTGCTTGTCCTGCATTGTATATGACATCTTCCAAGGAAAAGAAGTGGCTTTGTCCATCCTGGAACCAGTGGGGAAGAAGCCTGTAGGATCAACAAATAAGTATTGCTCTGCTTTATTACTCCCCTACACTGAAAGAACATTTAACCCTTACTATCCTGGGAAGGGGGAGACACCCAAAGCTTTTATATTTAAAGGCTAACTGAAATCCAGCAGTTAAAAAAAAAAAACTATTTCGGAGTTCTTTTATAAACTCGTTTAGATCCATGTTGCAGGTCAGCAGAATTTAGTTGTAAAGTACGAGTACGCACAAGTACGAGTGGCCTTTTGAGCTGAAATGTATATTCTTTCGATTTAAAATCAAGATCAAATTTATACAGTAACACTTATTCTATATTACATTTGTTAACAGACTTCTTTCTTTCTTTCTTTCTTTCATATGTAGTGTTTTCTGTTACTTTTTTGTATCATATGTGACCTTATTTATCTTTTGCAGAAGAAAGTGGTGTTTTTATTAAAATACCAGGTACAGAAATATTGTCGGACCCTGGTATGTAATTTTACATTTTATTATTATTATTATTATTATTATTGTAACGTTACTTTGTAAAGTAACTGAAAAAAAGGTTTGGTTCATACTCAGTGTTTTGTAGTGCTTTTTCTGCCCTAAAAAAAGCTCACAAAATCGCATTCATTTCTCTGGCCCTGTTCACATCTGAGTGTTCTGTTGCAATAGGTAGAATGCCTGTCGCTGGAAAAAGTACATGGGCTTTTTTTGGCATATCACAGTTCGTTTTGGACCCATAGACTCAATAAGAAACGCTTAAAAATATGCATTTGCTGTGTTTTTGTGCATTTTTATGCATTTGCAAAGCCACAAATCCTATCTGAATTCATGTTCACACTGTCCTTCCTTCTGGAGGGTGGCTACTTTTGTTCCTCTTAGTCCCTATGTGTGTTGTAAGGTAGCCGCTGCTCCAAGTTCACTCCCGTGATGGACCACAATCTCACGTTTAGTTTAATAATTTGTATTAAGATTGTAGTCCATCATGGGAGCAAGTCTGGAGCGCTTGCTACTTTACAACACACAGGGAACATAGAACACAGGGACCATTGTTTCGGGATGATTCAAGCACATTTTATTGTTCACTTTATTTCTATTATTATTACATTGTAATATATAATTATAGAACTCCCCATAATGCAGAATCAGTGGGAGCCCTAAACTTGATTTGGGGCCTGGAGAGTCTTGCTGCGGGCACAGCAGAAGAGGCTCTCTAATCAGGCGGCCGCTCACTCCTCACTAGGGCCCCAGCGAGCGGCCTTCTAAATAGAGGGCCGTCTCTGCCTAATTTGAGCTGGACCATCGGGCATACCGAGGCCATCTAGGCTGGCCGGGCCTATTTGCAGGGGCGAGCTTGGAGCTGGAGCTCCCCATGCCCCTATGCTAATCTGGCCCTGGTGGAGCTGCGACCCAGTTGCTGACAAGCCACGGAGCGGTCCGTGGCCGGGGGGTTGGGGACGTCTGCTCTAGATATTGTAGAGTTACTTAGTCAGGTTTATAAAAGACACAAATCCATTGATTTCAACCAATAGAAAAAAAAATTATAAATATATTGAAAACCTCCATATACCGAACCCTATACCCACATTTGATCCAAAGGAAGGCAAAAAACACCTTTTATAAAGCATGGTCCAGTTTGCTTTAACAGGGGAAAGAATTGCTTCCTGACCCCATAAGGCAATTGGATGTTCCCTGGATCAACAATCCCTGGTGTTTATTACGTATAAATGTTAATAGCCAGTTATATTCTGTGCACTTAGGAATGCGTTCAGCTTTTAATTTTTTTAAACAGTCAACTGATCTGGTTAGAACTAGTTACTGAGGGGTAAGAAAAGTAAATTTCACCGGCGCCAGCACCTGCGACTGCTCATTGACAAATACACCAAGAGGCAGCTCCCACTGGTCAGGGTAAACGGCATACTATAAAAACAAAAAAGAGGGAGCACCTCCATAGTGTAAAACAGTTTTAATATGAAGAATAAAAACAGTTGTATCTGTACACACAAACGTCTTAGGAATTCAAGCATGTAAAAAGTGATGGGTAAACGAAGTCACAGAAATGAAGATCAAAGGAGTTAATGCTGCATCGGAGCCTTTTCACTACCAGTCTTCCAAGGTTTACACGTTTCTGAGGCTACACCTCCTTCATGTAAACAGATACAACTGTTTTTATTCTACATATTAAAACTGTTTTACACTATGGAGGTGCTCCCTCTTTTTTGTTTTTATAGTTCCTGAGGGAGTCTATTCCACATTTTTACAGCACTTTCTGTGAAGAAGCCTTTCCATATGTGCAGGTTATGTGCAATTTACAAACCTATTTTTGTTTTTATTCCCCTTCAAAGAGACACCTGGGCTTTATTGAACCGAAAGGGGAAAAGACCATGAACCACCTTTAGGCCTAACCTGAGTCTGTTAAGTTCACAAGATGGAGGAAAAATTGAACGGACACGGATGTTGTAATAGTGACATCTGTTCAGTTCAGCTTCCATTCAGCAGGGATTCTGTCCACCGAATCCCTGCTGAGCAAAAGAGTCCAACCGTGTGAAAGGACCATTTGCTATCTAAAACGTGAACACATTTGATGTAATGTCGCAAATGCATAATATAATGATGATCTCAGGTTTTAGATTGAGCAACGTTTCACATAAATTCATAGGAAGCGGGCATTGATTAGTATGCAAAATATTGTAGGCCTGAGACCACAACCTCTAATCGACTGAGCAGATCCACAATGTTTGGTAGAAAGTGTCCAGTTCCAGGCAGCTGCAAAAGCAATAGGCGAGTAGTTCCAGTGTGAGCCAGCTGGGTACCATGTACTATCTAAGTAGTACTTTATAATTTTATCTCTACAGCAGATGCATAGCGAGGGCAGGATTTGATTGTGTCCAATACCTGCTCCCAGTTGTCATCTTTCTGTGGTTCCCAGGTCTAGATTCCAGTTGCACACATAGTAGTAGGGTTTGGAGTACAATTGGATAGTAGGGTTTTATATAGAAGATCAATTAAGCCCAGGGAATGGGACTCCTCTGCAGGTGTAGATACAAGCAGTTCTGGTGACTTAATGTTTTACCGGTAGGGTTAGCAATTTTCACTTTGCAGGGTGGGCAAAAGGGTTTGATCCTCAACAACATGAGTAGGCAGTGAAATTGGGTCAAGCATGCCTTCATCCAAAGTTTAAACATGGCCCAGAGGGAAAGAAGGGTTGTGAATGGTGGACAGGAGAGGTAGGTGAAGGGAAAGGAGGCCACCTGAGTATTTGATGGAATCCCACAAGTGGAGTAAAAAGTGGGGTTTCAATAGTGGTGTGGTACTTGGTGAGTTGAATCTGCTGAGTAGCCTGGTAGTACCTTAAGAGGTTAGGTACGCCAGGACCCTCCTTTGGCCTAGTCTGGTACATAGTGCACTTAGAAATTCTCGGGTTTCGATTTTGCTAAATCAAGTGTATGTTGTGACTTTGAAGAACATGAAAGTGGGGGGACTCTGAAAGGGAGTATGTGGACTAACTATAACAGTTTAGGTAAGTATAACATTATAAACATAGCTGTACGGCCCAGCGAGGGGAGAGTAAAGTTAGACCAGGCCTGCAAAAATGCTTTAAGTTTGTGGAGGAGAGAGGGATAGTTGGTTTTGTAGTGGGTAAAGTAGGAGTCAGCGACATAAACACCTAACTATAGTAATTTTGTCGGTTTGTAATGAACAATGAAAGGGCATGGATAAGAGGGGATGGGAGAGAAATGTTAGGTGCCATGGATTTTGTAGGGTTGACCAATAGGCCTGAGATGTTGCCAAAGTGTGAAAGTCAGTGGAGGTTCGGCAGGGAGATGAGTAGGTTAGTAATAGTGAGCAATACATAATCCACAAAGACACTCAATTTATAGTGATGATCTGGTGTCACTCCAGCTATATGTGGGGATGTCCCGATAGAGCAGGCAAGGAGGGGTTCAATCACCAGGGCAAAAAGAACTGGGGCTATGGGGCATCCCTGCATGAAACACCATGAGATTGGAAAAGGGGGGGGGGATTTAGGGCTTGCAAAATGGACGTGAGCGACAGTGGAGTTGTAGAGAGCTGATTTTTTTTATACCTTTCCCTCTGTGGTTAAAAAAAAAATTATGATATTTCCTATATGCTAGAATAGTGATAATGAGCTTTTCTCCTAAGTGATTGTTAACGATTTACTGTTCAATGTCTAATTATCACTTGATGCTTGGATCAGCTGCACCAATAGAAATATTTAAAGCAGACCTTTACACATAACCTTAAAATAACAACAAAAGCACCTTTAAAAATGTATAGTAATGACAATCTACAAACGGATACTTTCAGATAATTGCAGACTTTAGCTTCTTTGCAAACCTTATTTCTCTTTTCTTTCCTAGTATTCTGACAGTGGCCATGTTTACTAAGGGCAGATTACTAGCTCTCTTTACTTCCTGGAACTCTGGCACATGTGACTAAGACACGTGACCATGCACATCATCTCAGGGGAGGAAAATGCCTTTCCCTGAGATCTCCTGAGATTACAGATGTGATTTCCCAGCAATGCTCTGCTGATGTAATTTTCCCAGGATGCAATGCTTTGGCACATTACATCATTTGTGCCAGAAGTGGACCAGGAAGTAGATGAACTCTGAAAAACAAGTTTGTTTAACTTATCGATGTAAGAGGTTTGTAAATCAACATGCAGACTGAAGAGTTTTTAGTAAAAGAGGGTAAAGGTTTGCTTTATTATTATGTCATTTATGAATGGCCTTTAAAGTGAAGTGTATTCAGCATAGTAGCATAGGTGCTATCTGCATGTTCTTGGTATGTTTTCTCAGTATTTGTGTGACTTTCCTATAGCTGCTTTGGTTTCTTCCTGCAATGCCATTCCTGAAGTTGTTCGTGTTTTTTTTTTTTTCTTTCCCCCAGGTAAGAGAAAACGTCAGGACATGAAGACAAATGTTCCTAAACGTCTGAAAAATGAAACTCGAGCAGAACATCCTCCATTTTATTATAGCATTCACAGACATGCGATTGGAGGATTAAACATACCGAAGTAAGTCTAAAGCTGAACTCCAGTCCGATCTAAGACATTAATACAGCATTAAATGTACCTGAATTTGACCTGGTATCAGCCTCTTGTAGTCCCTATACAGCAGGACTTGAGTGTGAGAGGAAAAAGCAGTACAACATCAGTTTGTGTTCACAAGAAGTATGCTGATAGCAAGAGAAATCCGAGAGATGGGAACTTCACTGTGTTACTTCTCACAGTCCAGTCACAGGCTGGGGCAGGTCCAAGATGACCTGTGCTCAGAGGAAGTGAATTGAATGATGCTGGACATTTGGAGGTAGAAAAAAAACGAATGCGAGTGAAGTCTCTCTAGACTGAAGATCAATATTGCAGCAAAAGCTTTTTTTGTGCTGGAATTCTGCTTTAAGGGCTGATTGTAAATCACTGTGAGGCTATTTCCTGTGGTACAGTGGAGCATGATTTCTGTCTCTCTCAAGCAATTATGTGTTTTCTCTTGTTCATTGAAGAATACAACAGATATTTTAAATCTGACCATAGGGTTTATAGCACCCTTTTAGGAGTAAGACACTGAGCAGAAAACAAAAGTACAGTTTTGGCCACAACTATAATGGTGGCCGAACACCTCCATCTGCTAGAGGCTTAGTTTTTCGCCTAGTGTCAAGGAGTAAGGACCTAATCTTCCTGCTGGGAATCTTGGTTCCCTTCCCTTATTTTTTCTTCTGTCATCAGGACCCTCAATCAACAGCTGAGCTGGGTGATAGGTTAGATGATATAGATCCCAGTAGTCCCCACAGCTCAGCCCCCAGTTCCTTGCTATGTGTGGGTTTGGCTGCGACAGCCCTATCCTGCATCCTAGGGCGGCCTGTGAGATATAGGGGAACACACATGACCTACTGACCGCTGATTGATCTATCAAAGGATTTCCCCGCTCCAACCGAAAGCAGCCCCACCTCAGAAGGAGGTTATGGAAGATGCTACCCATAATGTTTCCAGCCTGGAACGGTGAGTATGAGACCCTCCATTTCCTCTGCATTCCCTGAGCTGATGTGGATCGGTTTACGGGTGCCCATTTTTCCCCCTCCTGTGCAGGGTTGTGTGTAGCTGTTAATAGTGTCCCCCCTCCATTTATGAAAAATTGTAGAAATGTTGCCCCCGCACACCAGTCCTTTTAGGATAGCAAAAGCTTAATTTATTTAAGTTTTTTTGTCATATCACCAACAAGCGCTTTCGGGACCACACAGTCCCTTCATCAGGCTTTAGCATTGACGATGCTAAAGCCTGATGAAGGGACCCTGTGTGGTCCCGAAAGCGCTTGTTGGTCATATGACAAAAAAGTCCAATAAATGAAGCTTTTGCTATCCTAAAAGGACTAGTGTGCTGGTGACATTTCTACAATTTTCACCTGCATGCTTTGTACGAACCTCATGCCTGTGCGCCCTACCTTGTGTGCACAGCACCTTGGTGGCAGGTATGGCAAGCTCCGGCGGTCATGTTTACTATTGGTAGACACTGACCGATGATTTCACTGTGTGTTGCTTGTATCACTGCCAGAGGACATCTGCAATATCCTGGGGTAAAGGGGGTGCACAGGCAATCCTTTATTTTGGCAAGCAGTTGGGGCATCCTGGGGCCAAACTTCTGCACACATGGCTGCACCCGGGGTCACCTTTGTTGAATTGTTCTCCCCCTTGAGGTCCGTGGGCTTTAAGGTGTGCATTTTTACCCTGGTTCAGTTCCTATCCTCTCCAAGAGTGAGAATTTTACTGCAGTATGCAGGGTTTGTAAAGAGCCAAATTTAACTACTTAATCCTGACTCTGACCACAGAGGCTATAAGCATAGCCCAATGTTTTTCCCGGCAGAGTCAGTATCTGCCTGTCTGCAGCCTTAAAAACCTCAAAGCCTTCTACAGCAGAGACTATATCCTGTCACAGGCAGCTACCATAGCTCTTAGGCTATGCAGTAGGAGTTTATCTCTGCCTTTACTTCTGCAGTTCATACCACTTTAAATATGTAATGTAGCCTCTACTAGTGCCGCTGCTTGTTAAGGATCTCCGAGACCTCAGACTAACATGTAGCAGTAGTGACTGCTTAGAAAATGTTCATATTAAACATTTTGCTGTTCTATAATTCAGGAGTCCTTTTATTAGAAGTGGGCTGTTTCTACTGCTGGTCTGACTTTCTTGCCTGTGGAGGATGCACCAGTGTTTAAGTTGGGTACATAGATAATTGCGGAGATCCTTCCCAAATTTTTTTTTCTAGCAGGCCTTGAAACCTCCAATGGGTGTGATGATAGTCTGTTGAACGTTAGGTGAGTGGACTAAAGATACCAGCCTCCGTTTACCTTGCTCCTATCTGTGTGGAGCACATGGAGCTCTTGCAGGTAGTCCAACTCTATTGCAAGATATGTTGATGGTTACTCCCTTTTTATTACCCATACGTGTGTTTTATCAGTTGATCGGTGGAGTATGCCTGACTTAAGGTTTTATGTTGCGGGGCAACTATCTAAAAGTGTTTACTGCCCATGTTCTTTGAGGAACAGCACCCCTTCATAACTACCTTGCATACCCCTATTAAGGATGTCTTTGGGATAAAAGTACTCTTCTGCCCCAACAAAAGAAGCCTGGGCCCTAAGCTGGGAAGATCCTTTATCCCCTCCAGGCCAAGCAGAAGTCAAGCGTCCACTTTGTTGCAACCCTGCGTTTGTAAATCCTCCAGTCCTGTAGACAAGTCTTCCTTGGCATGAATGCCCTTACTCCCAAATTGTAGGGATATCTGTTAGCCATGTGGACACCTGTTCAGGAAGCATATGCTATTGTCAAATCCTGCACTAGGAATCTGTTTATTATTTTGTGTTTTTTTTTTTTTTTGGAGCACAGCTTTATTACTTTGTGTTTTCTATGGAGCACAGCATCACTAAATCGTCTGAATGTAATCACTGTTTCCAACCATTTATCACGGTTTCTGCTGAGTATTCAGATTGCATAGTACATTATTGTATACCTGCTCCCTGAGCGTCTCATTATACAACACATTATTATATATGCACTGTTTGATGATTAATAATTTGAAGTGTGTTTAGTGTTGCATGCAGTACTCAGCACACATAAGTTTTTGCCATGTTCCCATGGCAGAATGGTTTCAGGGTTTTTGCTCCAACCGCTTCTCCGCCCCCAAACCATAAAGGGGGTATTAGCTCCAGCTTTCATCTGAAGGCCCTAGATGTCTTCATCTAGACCCATACCTTCTGCCTGGAATTCACCAGGTCTGTCTCGGCCCGTATTTATCAACTCTCCTTTGTATGCTGTGGTACTCCAGCCCTTTTGGAACCTGTTATTTGACTTGTCTTCTGCACCTCTAGTACTCATCAGGCTATTGGGTCCTGTGATTGCCTGGCTGCATTTCCAGGGAATGCCTTGTAAGATGCCTGGACGACTTCCAACAACAAACTCTCTGCTCCTACATTCAAACGCTATGGTCCAAGAGCAGCCTGTCTCTGCAATTCTGCATGAGAGTCCTGGGCCTGATGGTAGCTTCCTTTTGAGGCAGTTACATTACTTGGCATCACTCCAGCCCCTACCCTCGCTGATCTGTCATCCTGGGTTTGCTCAGTTGAATCTCTTGATTTAGACAAGCTGACTAGTCTGACGCCAAGGACCAGGTTTCTCTGGTCTGGTGGCTCAGGACTCCAGCCCTGGAAGGGATGACAGACTGGGGAGGGATCCTGGGCACCTTGTGGGTGCAGTGGACCTATTTGCCAGAGGATCCAAGTATTCCACTCAACATTGGGGAGAAACAAGCAACATGGTCATCCCTGCAACACAGGACCAACTGACTAGAAAGTTGTTGAAACCAGATTCAGTTGGACAGTGGCATGACAGTTGTGTACATCTATTATGGACGAACCAGTGATCTTACCTTTGCAAGAGCAGTAGAAATGTCTGTCTTTGGTAGGACGTCCCATTCCAACCTTGCCCGCCTTTGACATTCCCAAGGTGGTCATTTGGCAGGCAGATTTCCTCTGCTGTCAGGGCCCGGACCCTATACCTACAGGTGTTCCAGGACTAGTATCTCAAGTGGGGGACACCAGATGTGGACCTTCTGGTCTCCAGATTTCACAAACACACTGTATTGTTTTATCTCTGGGTATGGGATAGTCTGTTGGAGCAGCAGATGCTCTGGTAGCTCTGAGATTGGTACAGCCTAATCTACAGTTTTCCTGCCCTGTAACCCCTTTCTTGTGTGCTTTGCAGGACTGAGATGGAAGGCATTCTGGTAATCCTCATAGTACCAGATTGCCCAGAGGCCTGTGGTTCTCCATCCTGTCAGACTACTGGTGAATGCTCTGTAGGCTACTCCAAACAGTCTAGATCTTCAAACCCATGGATGAATTTTCCATCCTGCTTCATGGTTGCCGACTTTAGGCAAGCGATGAATACGGTCTATGACCATTTCCGTAGTTGGGGTGTCTGGCATGATTTCATGCATGAGACCCTGCACATGTGACATCAGGTCAGCTTGGGCGACCGATTTCAGGAATGCCATGGATTTTCACGTTATTTCGGCGAGACCTATCCTCCAGGTCAGCCATTTTGGCCTTCATCCATTCATAGTCATCCTCCCTGGTGTTATGAGCGTCGACCAGGTCATTGAAAGTAGTGGCAAACTCCCCCACTATATCCTCTATATGTGACACTCTATCACCCACTTGTTGTAAATCAGACTTAAATTGGGTGATTAAGGCTTGCATATCCGTATTCAATGAGCTCCTTAAGGACATCAGCATGTCCTTGAGTGTAGAGTCAGAGATGGGCTGGTGCGATGTGGGGAAGGCCTCAATGGGTGCTATGAGTTCCCTGGTATCATCTAGGGATGAGTTTAGCAGGCTCACCTCCCTCTGGTCATCTCCAAGGGTCACCATCTGCTTTCTCGTCCCATCTGGGCTCCGGCCGGCCGGGGTGCTAGGCTGGGACGATCCAGAGGAAGACCCTGATGCCGCCTGCTTCCCTGTGGAGGACTCTCCTGGCGTGTGTCCAGCAACATGGCCCTGCCGCTGTGCTCGAGTGGAGGAACCGGCGCCATCTTGGTCGCGTCTCCGCCCGGATGGACCGAAGAAGTCGGTCAGCTTCTGCGGCCGTTTGCCTCGCCGTTTTTGGGACCGCGTCATCCCCAGCGGAATGGGGAAGCAGAGGAGAGTGCTGTCGGGTGCTGGTAAGACCCGGTAGTTGCTTTTAGGCTTGGTTGCCGACTTCAATGGCATGGCTATTGAAGCCTAGGGAAGAAGGGACAGAGATCTCTCTCAATCAGTGATTCCTGTTCTCTACCATTTGCACATGAATGGCATATTTCACCTGTTATGAGTAAAGAAGATTTCACCCCAGGAAACAGTCTGTGGGAAGAGTCTTGACCTGTTTCCAGTCAGGTCTGTATCCGCATTGAGTACCGTCAGGGAATACAGCCCAGCACTTGTGATCTTTTTCTAGGACCACTAGCCTCCCATTCCTCGATGAGGCTTTCATATAGTGTGTGACCTATGTAGTTTCTAATGTACAACCTTCTGTGACTTTGTTGGATTTGAGTATGCTTCTCTTGGTGCCACAGCTCCTTTGATCCTATTGGGTACATTCCGCTTTCCACCTTTCCTGCTTTCCCTTCTTGGTTACCATCACCTCTATGAGGCGTGTTTTCTTGGCTGGTGCCCTGTCCTGTACAGAACCCTCTCTGGTCCTACACAGAGATGAAGAATGTTTTTTCAAAAATATTTTTCTGTGTGTCTTGTTCACACTATACACGTGTGGTGGTGTGCAGAAAAATGCAGCTCATCAGACATGGTGTGAACAAGCCCTTGATGTGGTGTGAAGAAACAGAATGGGTGTAATGTGATGTATCAGGTACACATATGATATGGTTTTATAAGACACGGTAATATTCATGAAGCTGAAGTCACTAACTTAGAAGGATACCATGTGATTCTGCACATTGTAGGCTGGGAATCTTTAGAATCATGCTGGTATAAGCTTAGAAATATTGTCACTTGGGATGAGTTTCATGTGTCATGCTAAAGGCCTTATAGGGTGCATATAATGTTTTAAAAAAAATATAAAGAGTTGCCCTTGTTAATTCAATGCAGTGCATTATTTAAACTGTTTTAATACATTCATATGTTGTGTAATTATTCGGAGCTTTGACAATTCAGCTTCTTGCTAAATTTCTGCAGGCCTGTTCTGTGCTATCTATATTAGATTAGATTCGATGTGTGTGTATAGGAAAGTCCTTTTTTCTACTTCTGATTTGTCCTCTCCAAAATCCGATGTCTGCACTACTCCCTGCATCTTCACACCGAGTGCAGGGTGTGGTGGTGTTGCCCCCTCAGACAGTGGGTCCTTGACGCCCTGCACTCGCAAGGTGTCCTCATTCTTCCAGGTTGAATGGTGCCGAGCATCATTCAACCTAGAAGACTAAGGGCATTTAAGTGCTAAAAGGAAAGACAAATGCAACAGCCAGTGTGGTGGGTTTTTTTATTGAAACCCTCAGAGAGATCATTTGGAAAAATATTTAGCCTGGAGTTGCGATTTAAAATTTGGTACTTTTAAGTCACAAATTCTAAACTTCTGTGACCATAAGTGTAACCCTGATACAGAAAATGTTTTTGCTTATTTTAAGGCTAAATTAAATCGATTTTTTTCCTTTTTCTATTTTTGCAGATTGAATAAAATTTTGCAGCATCTCTCAGAAGCTGGATTTCTGGTGAGCCGGACACATTTTGATCCAACAGGAATCCGTACAAATGCCCCATTGGCCACACTAAAAGCAATTCTTGAGAAGAACAGCTCTGTCTCCTACACTTCACAGTCCAGCAGCTGCAAAGATACCCAAGAGACGCTACCAGAAGAGCCGCACGCTGTAGAGGTGGCCTCTATGTCTGATGAAAAATAGAATCCACATTATATGCTATGAATGAGGAAAGAATCCTCTGTCCTTACAGACTGTTGTCAAACATAATACAATGGAATGCAACTTTCATACGTGCTCCCTGTAATGTTGCTGGCTTTCATTTAGACCAGCCAGTTCACCAGCAAAGCTGACAACAGTAAATAGTTGTTTGAAAATAAGACTTGACTGCTTTATTCTCTGATACGTAACTTGTGCGTTTTCTATTTCTTCATGCTTTGTCAAGAGTCTGAACTTTTATTGGGCTGTTTCATTAAATGTTTCTCTCCTGTTGGCTGTTATCATT